ACAGGTAAACACTATTCATCTGTCCCCACCAGCCCTACATATGTTAGAGCAACATAATCAAAAGATAAGTCTGAACCTATTTTTAATTAGGTATAATAGGTCTAAACTTTCCTTGTGTCTTGCAAAACTTAATAGATTTTTGAATAGTTTATAATGAGAATTATTTTCCATTGCTTTATCCCAAACAACTCAGAATCCAACAAACCACCTTCTTCAACCTCTAAAGACAACTAGGCTTTTGGGAGAAGATTCACTGACTCAAAGCATTTAGGTGTTATTGACTCTCCAATTCTATGTTCTTCAATGTCCAAGGGAACACCTTGAGTTTTACCTACTGAATTATTAAAGGAAAATAATGCAACACTTTAGAACTGAAACAAGTATTTTTACTTCCCATCTTGTGTGTGGGGGAGGGCTGAGGGTATTGGGGACTGAACTCGGGGTGTTCACCCTGAGCTGTCTTCAGCCATTTTTTGCTTTTTATTTTGAGATAAGATCTTGGTAAGATCTTTGGGCTGGGCTCATACTTGGGAACCTCTTACCTCAGGCTCCCAGAGTGCCTCTCCCCTCTTGAACTGGCAAAGGAAAGTGGGAAATAAGTCTGGAATTTTAGACTGATCTTTATGTGTGCCAGCAAGGAACATGAAACCAGACAGCCTAAGTTCCAAAATGTGGCTGTTACCCATTACATGCGCTACGCTGAACAACCTGCAACTTTTCCCTTTCATTTAAATGACGATAACAGTGCCAACCATACAAGGTTTTAGGAAGATCAAACTTCATGACTGATACTGTGCCCAGCCCATTGTAGCTTACCAAACACATACAAATCTCCTTATGCATGCAACTTTATCTTGATGACACCCAACTCCCAGGTGTACTTTCTCCTAATGAGAGCCCATCCTCTCTTGTTGTAACATAATCTTTTAAATTTTTTTTTTTTTTTTTTTGCGGTCCCAGGGATCAAACTCAGGACCTTGCACTTGCCAGGCAGGTGTGGAACCACTGAGCTACATCCTTGGCTCTCTTTTAAATTTTTTTTAAAAATAAGAAATGTTTTAAAAAATAAGAACTGTGTGGGTGGCACAGTTCTCAGGCACAAGGACCTGCTTCCCATCATTGATCTGAGGACCCATTTAAATAATGTAGACAAAATACTTAAGTAAAAGCTTAACCGTTAGGGCTGGCTGCCAAAGGTGTGGGGTGGGGAATCATGCAAAGCTGTCCATGAATGCTAATATTGTGCTGAGATAAATCCTTCTGTCACCTTATGTCAGTGCTGGAAGTAATCTCAACTCTTTGGAAGAAAGCTCCTGTACAAATAGTAAGGGAAGTTTTAATAGCAATCACGGTGATAAGGTCAGAAGAAGCTGGTACATCCCATCATTATTCTGCAGGGACTTTTGATTGCTTTCAGGGCTGGCATGACTATTGCCACCTAGGATAAGGAAAATTCTGAAGTGTGTGGGAACATGGAAGAGATACTATCGCACCCTGCATTCTCTGGGGAAAGTGTGACGCTGTCCCCATGGCCACTTCCTGACGCAGGTGGAGGGGTCCCTCTTTCACCCACAGATCCAGGCCAGATCTGGGCAGAGATGAGAAAAGGAGGCTTCTTTCAGCTAAGCTGGCTGTAAATTCTAAACAGTCTCACACTCCTGTGCAGTTAGAAGCAGTGGTCTCCAGAAGTGAGTGTAACTCGTATCGTTTTGGCTGACAGCTTCTGTTTGGGTCCTCAGGATGTGGCTCAGTCAGAAAGTACAGACCATGTGGGCAGAGGCCAAGAGCTTTTCTCTTATTAGTAACCATGGCATGGTGCAACGTACAAGGCCTTATTCCTTCTCTAGAAAAGTCAAGCAAAGCTTAAAGGATGTAGGGGGCGGACGCTGCTCACCAAGCCTCCTGGTGGGAGAGGGGACAGGCAGGCCCTGTGGCCGACAGGACTGTTTCACTACTTGTCTGCCTAAGTGCACTGGATTTCTAGGGCTCACAGCTATGTCCCGGGGAAGGAAAGCCAAGAGACGGAGGCAGTAGTGTCTACTGATTGAGTAGATCATCTATTTTGGAGACAGAAAACCTGCATTTAAATCCTGGCTTTGGCACTTTCTAGCTGTGTGACCTTGGCCAAATTACTCAGCCTCTCTGTGCTATAGATTTCGTATGTGTTAATGGTGATATTAAAGAGCTTCCTTGTGCAGGAGTTGTAAGGATGAAACAGACTGAGTTTGAATAGTGCTTATCACAATGCCAGGGCCTGACTGGGAAAGAAAAGATGCGTCTCTCTGTCCCCTAAGAAAAAGAGAAGATTTATTTTAGGTACTGGAATAATTAGGCCTCATATACAGTCACGTGTAATGCTTTTACCGACATGACAGTCGTGACTTTTGGTTTTTGGGGTTTGGTAATCCACCTTTCTGAGAGAAGATCCCTGTTCTAGGAATAGCTAATACAGGAGAGCAGTCAGCACTGGCGAAGGTGCTGTGTTCTGTTCACCAGGGAGGCCACAGAAAGTAAGACCCTCGGTGGGGGGGGAGGAAGCCCACCTGTTGTGTACCCCTAGCATGGAACGGTCCTCATCCGGATTCTTCCCCCTTTCCTGTCCTGTCAGTCAGTGCTTTCCCGTGTTTCTGCAGGCAGGAACAAACCTCTGCCACGCTCTGCATGGTGGGCACGGCGTGCAGGGCTCTGTGCTCACTGGGAGCAGCCAGAGAACATTGGTCTCGCCACCCTCGAGGGTGAAGCACCAATTCCTTCCCAGCACAAACCAAGCGGAGCAACTTTCATTTGTTTCAGTCCCCCATTGATGTATTTAGAGGCCTTCTGATGCACATACGGCACCAAGAAATGCAAAGAATGAAAAAAAGAAAGGACATGGAGTTTCCTAAAATGCAGTTTTATACCTTTTAGACAAAACACAGAGATGAAGATGTTTCATGAATAAGAAACCAAATGAGTAAGTGAGGGAGGGAGAAAAGGATGCTGACGGGAGGAGGGAAAATGAGGAAGCGGTGGAGCTGAATCCCAGGGCCAGGAGAGGTCGCCAAGGGGAGCAGTGGCCAGGGAGAGCAAGCTTTCTTCAGCAGGGTGGAGAAGACAGGCTCATCCTTGAGCAGTTTACTTGCAAATGGCTCATCTTCAACTCTTCAGGGGGCATCATTTGCTTTTATTATTATTATTATTATTATTATTATTATTATTGGTACCCGGATCGAACTCGGGACCTTGCGCTGGTGAGGGAGGCGCGGTGCCACTGAGCTAAATCCCTGGCCCCAAATTTGCTTTTTAAAGAGATTCCTCTAATGTAGTTCCCTGGCTCTCCACTCCCACAGGGCTATAGGGCAGTGCTTGAGAACGACAAAGACGAATCGAATCGCATTCTCCATAGAAGACACAGGGCTGTGAAGAGGTGTGGTTCTCTGGAGGCTGAGGTGAAGCTTGGCCACAGACAGCGCAGGCTGCAGGAGTCCCAGGTGGACCAGTGCAGCCCGATTTGGCAGAGCTCGGAGGGAGGGAGGGAGCTTGCTGGCTTCTGCAAGGTCCCGGGCAGATGATCCTGGGCTTTGTGAGTGAGGGATGTGAGAACTAAGCTAGTTGTTTGTAGTGTTGTTTATCACAGCCAAATCTGGAAACCCCGCTATGCTTTCCACAGGCAGATCAGGTCTACTGCAGGGCAGCAAATAACACCTTTTGGGTGAGGTTATGATGAAAATTCATGAGGTACTGATGAGCCATACCACAATTACCCTAGAATGTCCCAAACTTTCTTCTCACTTGGCTACGATCTAGGTCCTGGAAAACCCAAAGGCCAGTATCAGCTTCTGCTATTTCTCTTCAAGTTTATTCGCCCATTACCATGGACAAAAGTCCCCTATAATTAAAGGTGAGGAATACTATTTTCTTTGCTTCCTTCTTTCTCTTACGGTTTTTTCCTTTCTTCGCTATCACTACCTCCCATATTTCTCTTTTTCCATATACACATCCCACCAATGCATCTAGTTTATGTTTTACATTAATCTCATGTTAAGATTTACCTCCAAACTATTTTTCAGAATAAGATGATATAGAGCCATTTAAAACATGATGATATATGCATAGTCAACAGCATACTCCGCAAAACAACAAAATGTAGTCCAGCATGCTTAACACTTTGGTAAATGCAAATTTCAAATATATATGTTGTGAGCTGAAAATTTGTGCTCCCTAAAACAAATGTGTATGCTGCAGCCCTAACCTCTAATTCTGATGGTATTAGGAAGTAGGCTTTTGGGGGTGGAATTAGATTGAGAGGGAGTCACAGAGGGGAGGTCTCCATGATGGAATCAGTGTTGCTATGAGACTAGGAAGAGGCCTCAGCTCTCCCTCTTGCCCTCATAGGGGGACACAGGACCAGACAGTCATCTGTGGGGCAGGAAGGAGGACCTCACCACAAGCCACATCTGCTGGCACCCCGATCTTGAGCTTCCTCTCTTCCAGAACTGTGCAAATACATGTCCACTGTATGTCTCTGTGGCATTTTGTTCTCACAGCCTGGGCAAAGTGAGACCATGTACGTCTGTGTGTTTGGTCATTTACAGAATATTTTTGGCAGCCTGTGTAAAAAACTAGGGGTTCCAATCAAGTCCTCCCTGATAAGGGAGAGAGCCTGATGACCTGGAATCAGGAACAGCAGGAAACTCTACAGTTAGACTAAATAAAATCTACTTATTTATTTGAAAACCTTTATGTGAGTATGTGACATATGTGTATATAATGTTTTAATACTGAAACATTTTTCAAAAAAATCTGTCTCAATTATTCATCAAACCCTAACAAATTAACACGCATATAGCTTCTGCTGCTCAGTAATCATTGATCTGGGGGAAAAAAAGCAAAAAATCTGTAACACAATTTTCAACATTTCCTTAAGATAATGCCTGCATTCTGCCATCTTGGGGGTAGCGATCCCAGTGGTCATTTACTGAGTGACATCTTATTATGCTAGAAGTTAAACCAAGACTTACCAGTAGAACCTGTTCGGCACCACCCCTTCCTGGATAAGCTGCCATCTTCTCCCAAATTCAGCAGAGCTGTAGAGCTACAGAGAAAAGAAATTAATAGCCCATGGCCCCATGGTACATCAAATCCACAAGGATCAGTTCTTTAAATCAGTAGCAAAAAATATATCTACTATTGATTGAGCACCGGCCAAATGCCAGGTGAGTGCTCCATATATATCATCTCCTCATATAAATTCTGCATGGAAGATATTAAATTATCCATTTTATAGCTGAGGAAACTGAGGTTCAGAAAGATTAACTGAATTGCTGAAAGCCACATGCAATATAAACAGTAGGGTGCACTGGAATTCTCACTGTGTTCAGCCCAATGACAAAGCTGGCTGTCCCACTGACACAACAGGAGCAGAACCTTGCAGGGAGTGTTGAGCAGAAAATCTAGACTTAGCACTGGGAGAGCCCATGGTCCATCCCGAGCCGAGTCTAGCTAAACACCAGGTACTATGGTTAAAGGGACACAGAGGGGTCAGGAGTCCACCAGGGGGCTCCACAGATGCTGTGAACCAGTTGGGACCTGAACACAGGATGAAATTCAAATCGGCTAAAATGGCATCACTCACAAAAGTACACAGCAGGGGCCAAAGTGATGAGCCAGACAGAGACGAGCTATGAAAGAACTCGGCTTAGGTACTTAAGTTTGTATGAATCTGTGAGGGAAACTGAAAAGGTCTGAGTATCAAGTTAAGGAGACCAGAACTGAGCTTGCAGGCAAAGAGGCCAATGTTGGCAGGACAACCAAAGGAAGTGTGGATTATGAAACAGCAGTCCTCGCTGACTAAGCTCCGACTGTAATCCAGGTGCTCTGCATGCATGAGACCATCGATTCCACACACCATCCCTGTGACCTAGGAAGATATGCAGCCCCTCTTCAGATGGCTACACGGCTGGTACAATTTCAAACCCATTTGCTGCACTGCTTCTACACTGTCCCCGGTTGACTGCACAGAATCACCTTCCATTGGATAGGGATTAATCTTCCACATGCTCCGTCTCCCCAGAATGGCTATTTTTGGACCACCTGTTCTTAATTGCTTCTTGTCTTTCCTGCTGCAATAATCCCCACGTCATCCCAGGAACTTCTGCCCCAAGAAGTGTCCTCTGATGGCCACCCAGAGAATACTGCTGCTCTTCCTACTCTGGTTCCTGAGGGCATTTGGCTTCTGACTGGAAAACTACCATTTGGAGCATCTCCTTTCTGCTGTGTGCCTGGTATGTGACCCTCCCACTCCTCATAGTCAGGCACCTGGTTTGCTAACTGTCACACCGAACAGACGGTATGTCACACTGCACCCACTACAATGATCGGCTTCCTTTTCCTTTCTCCTCTGACACAACACTCAAAGAAGGGCTCGAATGACTCTCTAAGGCTATACGTGCACCAGCCCTGTCCAAGTACTGACTCATAGTAATTACTTACTGCCCCTTGAAAAAGCATGCTGTGATACTGTGTTCTTCTAATCAAAACATCCTGAAATCCAAGTGATGGAGTATCTGGCTACTAAAACAGGTAACTTGATTGGCTCTGACTGCAGAGTTATTTGAGTATCCAGCAAAGAAGAATCTATTGGTTTTTGCTTCAAGATATTTTCTTAAGCTTCTCTTTGCCCATTGTTAAAGTCTGGAACTTGACAGTCTCCAAAGTCCCATGCATCGGAGGGTTGGTCCTGGATGGTGGGAGGTGGTGGAAGCACTGAGAGGTGAAGAGTGTGGGCAGTCTTGGCTCCCTGGAAGCACAGTGTCCTGAAGGTGACTGCGGATGCCCGGCCCCTCCTCTTCCTCTCTTGTGTTTTCACGCCATGAGGTGAGCACCTTTGATCTTCATGCTCTCTCACTATGATGTGCTGTCTCACCACAGGTTCAAAGCAACCAAGCACACTGACCATAAACTGGAACCTCTAAAAGTATTTAGAAGTACGTTGATTGTCTCAAGTATTCTGTTACAGTGACAGGAAGCTGGCTCGCATCCATCATGGCAGGGAGAAGAAAGGCTTAGGGTATATTTACTTCCTGTTTGATGTATTTTAATAATTCCAGGGAGAGATAGGGAGGCAGCTCTTTGCACACGGATAAAGGAAGAGGGACAATTCTCCTTTTTGACACAAAAGCTGGGCAGCCAGCATGTGTGTGCTGAGAGCTTTATTTTCCTGTATGTCTGGACTATCATGCATTGTTAAAACAAAGACCTGTACAACTGCAGCAAGTCGCTGGTCTGCCTCCCTACTTGTTCTATTTGTTTTTAAAATCCAGAGATACACTTCTTGTGAGTCTAGTGTGAACAGAGTTCACACCATTGTAGTGTGCCCGTGTCTATATGCAAATGGGTGTTAACACCAATATTTACACACAAAGACTAATGCAAATGTAATAGAATCTAGACAGCTCAAAATAATGATTCTGTGCATGTAGGTGACTGGGGCAGACCCTGCAAGCATCATACATAAACTCCAAGCATGCCTCTGGCTGCGCTGAGGGATTGCCATCCCTGATCCCACACAGAATTCATCTTGTGAAGAACTACTGGGTGCCAGCACTGCTGTTCTTTATTTTTTCTTTGAGTGCTGAAATGCATCCCTTAGGCTTGGATTCAGAGCCTGTGGATGAATCAGGTATGTCCCGTGATATTTGTTTACATCTTCAAAAGGCTGCTTTGTTATTTGTGAGCATCCAGAGGTGCCTCAGGCAGTGGGTATACAAAGCACCCCAATAAACCAAGCCTCTCTTATTCAGCTCAGTGAAACACTGTTCAATTCCCTCTCAGGAAACTTAGCCTTGGTCTTAGAGATGGGCCCTCACATCTTCCCACTTCAAGCTGGGCACAGCCCCTCCGCTGTGCCTTCACCAGGGGCCACTCATTCTGTCAAAGGCTGCCTCAAGACCGGTTTTCCTTCTGGGCAAAACTTTAAAGCCCACCTTCTCTCCCAACTTTCTCCTGTCCACTCCCACTCCCACGCGCCTCATCTACAACATGACAGACTCCACGCACTGCAGGACAGCTTTACATCTAGTTTTAGCAGTCTTTTGAGACAGCCTTCTAACCATGCATGTAGAAATCTCTTCTGATATAACATATCTCAAACATATCTGAGATGATATGGCTGCAAAATGTTTAGATAGCATCACTCCCATCCTTCTAGTGTATCTATAGACACCATAAACTTGTAGAGGGAGGAAAAGAAAGAAGTATTGACATTGCACCAAGCAGATCTCCAAGCCATTAACGTACATGGTAAGATACTCAGGCTTCCCAGACAGTGGAGAACAGTAATTTATTACAGAAATACATTTTGCTTCCAGGGATCCATAGCTAGAAGCCAGTATCTTAAAATAAAGCTTATAAATATCAGTACATTTGAATGCCCTGAGGATCTGCCAGTGAGGACTTTCAATTTCTCCCCAGACTGCTGGATATACCTGACCTCCTCCCTCAAATACTCTCTCTCTAGGAAGCTAATTGTCCAGCCTGGTGTTATACCCAGGAAGGGAGAGGCATGGGCTGTCAGCCATTCACATTCACGTGTTAATTAACAGCACAGAGTCTGACAGCAAAGTTCTCCCCCACAGAGAGTGGGATGGCATCAGAGCCTTTCACCAATGGGCCCATCTCAGCTGCCCATGGAAGGCTTTCCACGGAGAAGTCAATGTTCTTTAATAAAATTCGTAGTGTTGGCCGTACCTAAGTAAGATTTATTGCCCTCTCTGTCTGTCTCCAACTCCAAGGTTTCTTTTGCCTGTCAGAACCCAGAACTGTGCACTATCATTCCGATCACAGCAGAGAGAGCAGCTCCAGATCTCTTCAGCAATGCCAAGCCCAGGGAAGGAGAGAGACAGACTGGGGAGAGGAAGAAATAGCACTCGATCTAGTTTAGGAGGCACTGTTCACCTACTAATCCTTGGTCATGCACCCAAAAGGTCATTCTTACAGGACATTTGTTTTTATTCTCCTAACACTGGTATAAAATACAGGAAAAACAAACAGAAGGAGCAGGAGTTTTAAAGCACATTTTTTTTTTTTTTTCTTTTTGGTACTGAGAATCAAACTTGGGTCCTTGCGCTTGCAAGGTAGGTGGCGAAACCACTGACCTAAATCCCTGGCCCTTAAAGCACATTCATAAGGGAAGGGTTCTGACTAAGAGCGCAAGGCAGAAAATCTGTGTTGGCTAAAAACATCCTGTGCTGCCTGAGACCCCTCCCTGCCTTAGTAAACACAACCTAGTGAGCACAGACGGAAGACCCTATTCCTGCTCAAGATCCATTAGCAGCCCGGGGGGCTGACCCTCACATCATCATTACGCTGGCCTGGGGCTGTCAACACTTCTCTTTCCTGCCACCGTCCTCTCCTGAGGGCTTAAAAAATAATCTCTCACATAGCTTATTTTCCCACCATCTGCCTTTATCTGCTGTAAGAAGAGTGCAGATAAAAATACACTTCATGGTAAACGAGGCCATTCGAAGGGCCAGTTTTGTTTCCAGCTTACAACCAACTGTCCAGGCATCTACGGCGCCCTCCTCAGGCGGCCTGTGGAGCTGTCAGTTTGTTGACGGGCATCAGTTAAGGGATAATAAAGAGAAATGCCACAGAGGGACCAAACAGCTTGAATAACAGAAAGAATGATATTCACTGACTTTACTCAGATTCCTAATGTACGGCAGATTCACACAGGGAAAAGGGAGAAAGGGAGTCTGAGATCACACTGTCATTTTCCACCTTTGTACCTCGAACATATTGACTACATCCCCAGTACCTGGGCATCTTTCTATGGGTAGAAGAGAAATTCAGCATCATTGTGTTGGTTCAAAACTTTGTAACTGTCACTGTCCCCAAAAAGTCTTTTCAATAGTCCTCAATCAGATCGAGGTATCTTCTCTTTTCAGTCTGTTAGTTAGGCACACCTTATGAATTTTCTTTTGCAGCTAGGAAATTGGTGGAAGGATACCTGTTCCATGGAAACAGGGCAAGGATAATTTCACTGAAGTTAAGAGTCGTGGTAAAATTTTTTGACTTTGGTTGGTGGGATCAGAC